CCTGGGCTTCTGCCAGGGCGGGGTGTAGTCCCCATGAGGCCACCCCAAAAGCACCTTGTTTATATGGTCAGTCTGGGGATTTATTTGCCAAAAGGCTGTCACCCATGACATTACTGCCTGGTGGCTCTAGGACTTTTAAATTGTGATTAAACCGGGGCAGCAGCAGGAGGGAGGAGAAGGACGGGAGAAAGTGACCCCGACTTGCCTCTCTTCCTCCCCTCTGTTCCTCGGTGGGCAGCGCCCCAGTGGTGTTGATCCACAAATACACAAAAATGTTTGCATGAGAATGTTTACTTGCACATGGTTAATTACAGAGGGGAAATGAAACAGTCTAAGTGTTCATCAGTAGGGGATTGGTGTCCAGTTGGCAAAGCTCAGTGGTTAACTTCTGGACCAGGAGGTCACAGTTTGATTCCCAGGCAGGGCACATGCCTAGGTTTCAGGCTCGATCCCCAGTTGGGGGCGTGCAGGAGGCAGCCGATTAATGATTCTCTCTCATCATTAATGTTTCTCTCTCTCTCTCCCTCTCCCTTCCTCTCTGAAATAAATGAACAATATTTAAAAAAAAAAGATTTTTAAAAAGAAAGTGACAACTATCTTGAGAGCATCCCTGACTGCTCTGATGGCAGCCTTCGAGCCGCTCCCCGTCCTCCAGGGCTCTCACATCACCTGGAAACTTTCCAGTTGAAGGAAAAAACCTCAAAAGTATTGTTTCCATCTTTTAGCCAACATCTCTCTGCTAAGCTGGACTTTTAGTCATTTTTAAAGTAAAACCTTAGAACTGGAACAAAGGGAACGTTTGATCTACTTTCTGTTACCCCTAGATTAGAGATGAAAGATAAGCCAGAGGATTCCAACCACCTGGAACCAAAAATAAACAATTATGTACAGCTCATAGTCACAAAAGAAAATGTTAGAGTGTAATTCTTTTACATTGATATTTTTAAGTAGAATCTTTTTTTTAAAAAATGTCAATGTAGAGTTGCCAACTGCCCTTCCTTGGGAAGGACCAACTTTTACTCTGAAAGTATGCGTTTCCTACCTATTTGGTATTAAAATTTCCTTTTATTTTTTTTAATCCTCACCCTAAGACATTTTTCATTGATATTGAGAGAGAGAGACAGACAGACAGACAGACATCAACCAGTTGCTTCCTATACACCCCCCAACCAGGGATCGAACCCAAAACTTAGTTATGTGCCCTGACCACAAATCAAACCCACAACCTTTCATTGTACAGGACAGCCCTCCAGCCAAACGAGCCACACTGGCCAGGGTGAAATTTCCTCTCTTTTATGAAATGCTGCTGATGGTAATTGGGAAATATTTTTATTTGGCAAAATAAAATGCCTGCAATTGCATATCAGTCTAACGTACTTTTCGTCCTGCTCGTGCCTGTTCTGGGGACTCGGCCAAAGGGCACTGAGAATATATGGCCCAAATTATTGGAATTTTGACCCTTGTTCCTGGACACTGTCCTCTCCAGCCCAGAGGGATGTTCTAAGTCGGCGTGTTCAGTATCCTGGGCCACCACTCTCCTCTAAGCAAACGCGCCCACCCATTTGTTTTCTATTTCCAAGAAGGACCAAGCCCCAGCCGCCCAACCCACAGCACTGCAGGAGCCGCTGGCTATCTTCAAAGGTCTAGCACTGAAACATGGTCCGCTCAGGGAAAAATGAATGGAGCATTTCATAGCATCAGGAGCCCCTTCTAGGCACCTGGGAAAAGGACACAGTAGTTTCCCACCCTATTGGAATCTAATGCCATTGGACAAACAGGATAACTACCCAACTATCCAAAGACGACAAGAGGCAGGAAATCATAAACACCAACTGTCGCCATGAGACACATGGAGAGTATGGTTTTCTGAAAGTTGGAAAATAAAGAGATGTGTCTGGCCAGCATGGTTAGGGAAGAAGCGCACAGTGGTCGAAAGAATATTCTGGAGTCTAACCTCTCACTAGCTATGGCACTGCCCCAGGCGTAGGTCTCCTTGTCTGTCAAGGGTAATAATCTTGCCTCCTTCAGACAGTTGTTCTGAAGATTAAAGGGCTGGACGCGGAGTAAGCATCCGGGAATATTGGGGATGTGCCCAAAACCGCTGTCATCATCCTGGACAGGGTGACATTTGAGAAGGGCAATGCAAGGCATGTTTAGAAGGTGGAAAACCTTTGCTGCTGGCTAGAGGGAAACGATGCGGTTAATCCTAAGGCTTAACAGGAGAAGCGTTTGGAAATGCAGGGGAAAGACTTTACATAGAGGAGGCTACAGGGAGCCGGGCTTCCTGTCCCTGCAAACCCCCCCTTGCTGATCCCATTTTTCAGGCTTTCTCTGCTTCCCAGGGGCCACTGCCTCCTGTTCATCACCATCCGGGTGTCCCAATCTTCCTCGCACATCTTTTGTGGCCCTCCAGGGAGCAGGCCCTCCGGGGGCCCACAGCTCTCCACAGCACACCAGCAGCAGCCGTCCATGAAATAAGCTTCAGCTGGCCATGTACTAAGAGGGCCAATGGGAGCTCAGTTCCCATGGCCTGAAATGTGGTCTTCCATGCAAGGGAGGCGCGAGCCCATCTAGCACTGGTCCCATCACACCCGCTGGTCACGCCCACTTTGGAAGAGGAACGTGGACCACCCACTATGCCTAGAGACCCTGGTATGTCCTAACAGAGTCTTGGGGAAAAACAGATGGCAGAGGGTGGGGGTCTCGGCTGCCCACAAATATGTACAGTCCTGCAGATGAAGGAGAAAGCGCCTGTGTGGTCCTAGAGCAGTGGTTCTCAACCTTCCCAATGCCTCAACCCTTTAATACAGTTCCTCATGTTGTGGTGACCCCCAGCCATAAAATTATTTTCGTTGCTACTTCATAACTGTAATTTTGCTGCTGTTATGAATCGTAATGTAAATATCTGATATGCAGGATGTATTTTCATTGTTTCAAATTGAACATAATTAAAGCCTAGTGATTAATCACAAAAACAATATGTAATTATATATGTGTTTTCTGATGGTCTTAGGCGACCCCTGTGAAAGGGTCGTTCGACCCCCAAAGGGGTCTCGACCCACAGGTTGAGAACCGCTGTCCTAGAGGGAAAGACCCAGGAGTGGTCCCTGGAAACCCGAGGCCGCCAGCCGAGCCAAGAACTAATGCTCTCAGATAACAGTCCAGACTGGAGGGAGCGGATGAGTGGGCTGCAAGGATGGGAGCTGTGCCCCGTGCCAGAGGCGACCACCTTTTCTGCTGCTTCCAGGGATTTGTTTAGGTGGATGTACCCCAAACAGCTCTGTGTCTGCCACTCAGGGGTGTCTGGAAAGTGTAGCACAGACAAAACCATGAAAAGATAAGGCACATGAGAACCCCTTCCCTGCAGGCCCCAAAGTGAGCCTTCTGTCTTGTTGAGATGGTGGAGTTGCAGTAAGTGGGGTTGTGGGCACAGAAGGGTTGGATCACCCAACTTAAGAAAGGGGAAAATAACTATTCAGAAGGGAAGGAGAATCAAGAACTCAGTGATCGGGGGCACCCTGGGGTATTCTGAGGGTGGGACAGAACTAGAAGTGGCAGGATTATTATATGACATTTATTTTGGATGCTGAGGGAGTTTCATTGTAAGATATGCTATAAAGTTCATTCTTCTTTGTCCTTAAGAGATCATCAGAGGTACTTTTTTTAAAGAATGCAGGTATTAGCACGGGGACACAGATGAAAAATACTGAGATAGCCCTGGCCAATGTTGCAAAGTGGTTAGAGCGTCATCCCAAGAACTGAAGGGTCTCAGTTTGATTCCTGGTCAGGGGCACGTACCTGGGTTGCAGGTCCACTCCCTGCCCCTGATTGGGGCATGCTCAGGAGGCAACCAGTCGATGTGTCTTTCTCACATTGATGTCTCTCTCTCTCTCTCTCCCTCTCTCTCTTTCTCTCTCTCTCTCTTTTCCTCCCTCCCTACTACTCTCTGAAAAGCAATGAAAAAAATATTCTCAGGTGAGGATTAAAAATAAAAATAATACCAGACCAAGGCAAGGCCATGCAAGCTGCCTTGATTTGGGTTACTGATGAGTTTCCCCAGAAAATGCCAGTATCACTGTCACCATCAGGTTCTCTTGGTTCATCTGGAAGCAAAAATGTAAGAATCATGACAATAGACACCCCACTGGCTGCTCCTGGGTTCTTGCCAATATTCAGCTTCCAGGGCCTCGTCCGTGGCCACCCGCACCACGGTGTCCTTCAGTCACTGGGACTCAGAGGGCAGGCCCCCGGCAAATGGTCTCCCCGCCCTTCCTGCGACGAAGCATGAGTTTTAGCTACGTGCCAGCCTGCCCTCTCCAGCCTCACCCGGTGACATCAGAGCCAGCTGGGACCGTGTGATTTTCCTAGCGCATTCTGTTACCTTCTGACTTTGCCTCTTCGCCGCTGTGATTTAACCTTGAGCCCATTTGGGCACTCCTCTGCCAGTTTCACCGTGTGTGGCCACTGACCCACACATGGGAGTTCCTGGAGGGACCGTCTCCCTCGCTCTCGGCTGCCCCTCCTTCCTGTGGGCACATGGACCTAGCTGGCCCAGCCTGTGACCCATGGGCTCTGTGGAATTGCCAGGGAGGGTAGTCACTGGGCGTGATTTCCTGTGACTCCCTCTGCCTGACACCTGCCACGGACAGGAGGGAGGCTGGCAGGGACCTCCTTGCCCAGAACACTCCCACTAATAGCTCATTTTCCTACAGTCTCTCTGCTGCTGCTCCCCACCCCCACCCCCCCCCCACCCCCGGATCTTTCTGCCTCTTGTTTTTGCAGAAATTATTTTTTCAAAGGAGAAGAAAAATGCAGAGAATAATACCACGCACATCATTGTCTACCCGTGTTCAAAATGTTCTCAATATCCTTGGTCTCCGTCCACCCTACCCCACCGTAGGCTCTCACCACTCCTGGCTGCCTGAACGTGGGGCCGCTGAGCTCTCTGCCCTCACCCACTGTGAGTCATCACCTAATCGCCGCGTCCCTCCTCTCTCCAGGGTTCCATGGAGAACGGGGCTGCAGTCTCTGCGGACACGCAGAAGACAGACCCAGCGATGGAGCCGAAGCTCAAAGTGGTAGACTGGGACAAGGTAACTGGCACAGGATGGGGTGGAATGGTGATCGGGGGCTCCCATGGCCGAGGAGAGGGTGTGTGGAGCCAAAGGCTGTAGTTATTTATGACGTTTGCCCAGAAAGATGAGGCTGGGAAGCAGATGCCCACTGCGTACAAGCATCGCCTGGGTAGCACGTGTGACCAAGGCTGTGACGGGTGCAGGAGAACTGTGCTCGAGGAGGTTTGTGCAGAGCCAAGCCCAAGCACCCGTGGGAGGGTCCCCATGGGTCCCTGACACCGAGAAGGGCACAGTGCAGGGTCGGCAGGCCCAGACAGCCAGCTTGACCAGTGCCCAGACAGAGCTGCCCAGGCACCAGCAATCACTCGCAAGGGTCACCGGGGGACCTGCTGGGGCAGCGGGGGCAGAGCGAACTACCTGCAGTGTCGTCTGCAGAGCCCGACACCAAAACCTCCCTTGGTGTTCAGAGGCCAGCATCTCGGGGGGGGGTTAGGCAGGCCCCCTTTGTTGGTCCCAGGTGGAAGGAACCTCTCCATGTGGGGGGGCAGGAGGAGAAGCAGCGTGGCCTGGGGGCCCTGGAGGGAACCAGATGTAGGAGCCATTTCCCTCCAGCCTAGGTCATAGGACTGACCCATTGTCATTTTGCCATTTCTTCCTGGAAAAGACACAAGTGGGTTATCCATACGTGTCCCTGCCTGTGTTGGACCCCAGGTGAGAGACAAGCAGGACAGGCCCCTGAGCCAGGCAGCTCACAATCTGGTGGGAGGACAGACCCTCCCCCACCCTGTCAACAGTTAGTACAAGTTGGGGAGTTTCGAGAAGCATGCCCAAGGGACACAGGTGAGCAGAGGAAAGGCGGGGCCTCCGGAAAGCTTACTGTTTGCCGGGCCCCTTCGGCCAGGGCTCCTGAGGCCCTGACTCCAGGAACTCGAGGATGGTGTCTGTCACAGGGGAATTGCACCGCCTTTGAGGGAGCCGTCAGCCCACAGCAAGGACATGCGTGTGTGCTCTGTGGGAAGGGCTGGGACAGGTTGTTCCATGCCCATCCCCTTCCAGGGGCCTGTAACCAAAAGGGAAAGAGAAGACCGGGGAGGAGAAGGCTAGCCGGACCGACAGCAGGCCCCCAGGGAGCTCGCCGGAACCTGGTGGGCTGGCTCTGAGCCCCAGGTTGGCCACAGGTGCTCAGTGCCCAGGCCAGGGCTGAGGCTGGGGGTCTTGCTACAAACGGCTGACTTCTCTGGAAGTTTGGGGACTCGGGGTGGTTCTGCGTGTGGGTAGGACGGAGGGGAAGACGGCCAGCTTGAATGGTACAGAGACCCCAAAGCTGTGGAGTCAGGACCTGGCTCTGGGAGGGAGGAGCTTCAGAGGGAGATGAGGAGGGTGGGGCCGAGGGCAGGACAGAGAAGGCGCTGCGGCTGTCAGCTCAGGGCTCAAGGCCAGGGGGCGGGACTAAAAGGAGCCATGAAGAGGGATCCTTGGCACCAGCATCTGTGGGCTTGGAAAGAAAATACTTACCGAGGGAACTGACCGGGGTTGGATAAGTATCCTGCTGCAGGGAAGGAGCCTCCCAGTCGACCTGGGCTGCAGGTCCAAGGCTGACCCCAGCCCCGTCACTGCATGGGGGTTTGGGTGGGTGGGGATCAAGGCCACCCAGGCCTGTTCCACCATCACCTGTGCCCCGACCTGAGCTCCTGAGCTGAGCGGATGAGGGGGCCTCCCCTCCCCCTCCTCCCCCAGGGCCCGGTCCTGGCTCCTTGCCAGCATGTTCAGACAGGTCACGCCTGACTCACCTTCCCCGCCTCTGTCATTCTTCCACACAACCTTCTGTCTTCCTCCCATCTGGGCTGAGAGAGGGGGGCAAGGGCTGGACCAAGAGAGAGTAAGGAGAACCACCCTAGCAAGGAGCTCCCAGTCCCCCCAAGAGACCCAGCTTGGGGAGCTGAGCTTCCCAGGAAGAGGGAACAGTGCTTTCCTTGCCTTTTTTTTTTTTTTTTTTTTTTTTTTTTACTCATCTACCTCTAGGGCAAAGGGATTTGCCAAAGTTAACCCTTCCTGTTTTGCATTCAAGGGGAGCGCCTCTGGGCACTGCTGAGGAAGGGAGCCTTGGGCTCCCATGACTACGCCTCCCCTAGGAGGTGGGACAGGGTGGGACAGGGTGGGCCATGCTGGAAAGAGCCAGGGGACCTGGGGTGCTGGGGCACAGGGAGGAGGTACAGCAGAAGGGCCAGGAAACCAGCCCAGGGGCCCCCCACCCTGCTTAGAGGTGTGGTATAGTCTGATTTTCAGGTTCTGCATAGAAGGTTATTGGAACCATTTCTTTTTTTAAAATATATTTTTTATTGATTTCAGAGAGGAAGGGAAAGGGAGAGAGAAAAAAAAAATCAATAATGAGAATCATTGACCGGCTGCCTCCTGCACACCCCCTACTGGGGATCGAGCCCACAACCTGGTGGGGAATCGAACCCTGATCTCCTGGTTCGTGGGTCGAAGCTGAACCACTGAGCCACATCAGTTGGGCTGTTAGAACCATTTCTAAGCCATCCCTCCGATCACTCAGGCAGGCAGGATCCAGGCTTCCTTGTGGGATGAGAATCCAGGTTCTAGCCCCTCACCCTGCACTACAGCCCACACGTCTCCCCGTTTTCCGGAGCCCAGCCTGCCTGGGGCTTGCCCGGTACAGGTGGCAGGAGCTTCCCACTGTTCCTGCTCTGGACACACCTGTCCCATTTGTCCACCCGCTCTTCTCACTGCCTCACTGTGTCGGGCGCAGAGCCCTCCCCTGGCAGCCTCCATCTGCCCACTTTGGGGGCCAGCTTTCTGATGCCAGATGAAACGGGTGTGATTTAAAGTGTTGGCAGAAGTCCCTGCGCCAATCCCTCTGGGCAGCAGAGTTGGGGCCGAATGAACATTTCTTTTACTGAGCTCTTACCGTGTGCCGGACACTGCAGGCCGAGCACTTTAAACTTACCATCCGGTTATCTAATTTAATCCTGAAGAGATAAGATCTTCAGATCCCGATTTAACAATGAGGAGGAGCTTCGGTCTCTTGCCCAAAGTCACTCTGCGGGTACATTTAGCACAGCCAGTGCTTGCGGCTGAGCCCCTCCCCTGCGGGTGCCCCTCCACGTGTCCTGCCCACCTTGAGGCCTGTGCTTGGGAGAGAGGGTGGCAGAGGGAGGGAGGAGGCTGAGCAGGTCCCCAGAGGGAGTTGTCTCCAAAGCTTTGCACATCCTCTTCCCCATCCCGCCCCTCAGGCTAAGCCAGACTCCAGCAGAACCCGCCCGCCCTCCACTGGGTGGAAACCGCTCTCTTCCCTTAAGAGACAGGTAGACTCATCAGGCCAGGTGTGTCACAGAGCAAAATGCAGCCGTGGGCTCTCAAAGTCCCCTTGCCATACGCGCGCGCGCACTCCTTAGCATCGGGCTGCTCCAGGTGTCCCCGGGGCCTGGCAGATGTTGATACTGGCCGCTTGGGTGAACCTTTTGGGACCCTCAGTTAAGTCACTTCTCTAGATCTGCACAAGGGCCCTCTTGGCCTGCCCACCTCTGGGCCCTGGCTCACCTCCCAGCATCACCCCTCCATGTCACCTTGGCCTCCTTTCTCCCCTTGACCTGCCCCAGAAGGATGCCCGTCTACCTGGCTGCCCGGAGGGATCCACAGCGACCTCCCCAAGACTGTCCTTGCTGGGCCAGGGTCTTGAGTTTTCTCCCTGTTTGCTCCCTGGCCTAGAGACCCTGGCCCCTCTGCCAAAGAGCTCAGGAGTGCTCATAAAACACCCACCCTCACCTCCCCCAGGGAGAAACCAGGCAGGAGGGCTGGGCACCGCTCTCTGGTCCTGCGAGGGCGGTGGACGGGGCAGGCTCAAGTCGGAGATGCCACTGGGTGACCATAGGCAGCTATGTTCTGTCTCTCCCTCAGCAAGTGGGAGGAAGTTATTCCCCTCCCTACAGTGTGGGGTTGTCAGGAGGACCCAGAAGGGTACACAGGGTATCAGAAAGCGAGCGGCCAGTGCAAGACCAGCCCACTTCTCTTTAGGATTGGGGCTGAGGGGGGGGGGGGGGGGCGAAGGGGGGCTTGGGGGGAAAAGTGGGGCGCAAACCCACTTGGCTGTTCT